TTAGAACTCTTGTTTGTATGCTGAATTGTCTTTATCCTCCTTCAACTTAGTGATATACATTGTTAAAACTGAACCGATGATATAGTCTCAGCCATAACAGGCTATCTGGTAAATTTATCTTCCATTTATATATTATTAGTGAACAGTTGTTTTACTAAAACACGAGAGGAAAAGACAAAGTACAGTAAGACCTATGATTGCTAACATTATCCAAACAGAGCACACACCCTAAACTATGATGTAAAAAATAAGGGACTTTTACAACATATGGCTGAAGAAACCAAAGTTAGAAGAATAAAGGATGAATTTAAGATGGTAGACCTATAGTTACAAAACAGAATATTAGAATAGAAACACTGGCAAAGAAAATTTTTCCATAAATCTTTAGAGTATTAAACTGGGGCACTCAATGTATGAAAAGTTATATACACACATAATAAGACTCCAAGAAAATGAACAAATATTATCTACTAGAAAGTAACTTCCAACTAACTAGTCCTAAAGCAGAAGCTATTATAGGCACAGCTTTATAGCACACAGGGCAGGGAACCCTGATTGCTCTTTGGGCTGATGAGGGAGGGGGACTTCATTGGGGGAGGGGGAGGGAAATGGGAGGTGGTGGCGGGGAAGAGACAGAAATCTTTAATAAATAAATAATTTTTTTTAAAAAAGTCACCTTATAACCATGATGAAATAACTGCTCCCATACACATCCGCTTACCAAAATCAAAAAGTCGAAATAGAACAAAATACACACCAGGTTGGAAATGGGAACCCCAATGCTAGATATCCCTACTAAAGAGTCAGGAAATAGTTTCACTCCTAGGTCTGCCATGAATTTTAAGATACACTGTTCAGAGACACCCAGGTACAGCACTGACGATCTGAATCATTCAGCAGGTACGTCCAGAGTCATGTCTGCGCAGTAGGGAGATTGCCATCCCTACATTATGCCTCCCTTAACAAAGCTTTAAAGTAAACCTGAAAGTCCAATCAGATCTACATGTATTAAAAACATCAACAATTTTAATAAGAAAATACTACTCTTTTGAGAAATGGGGCCTTTCTCTCCTACACAAGGCTGACAATAGATTTTATTATTCTTCTTTCTATATCTAGATAAAATCTGTGGTTATGCCCAGATAAAACAGGATTGATGAATAGAGGAAGAGAAACTAAATACAAAAAAATGAACTTGTCCTATTGTGTGATGTTGTTACTAGAGAGCAATTAATTTTTTTATGACTAGAGGCCTGGGGCACTCCATCATAAACTATTTATCTATGTGAAATCTCAAAATGAAGAAAATAAACAATTCGCTCTGGATATGCAAACATCTGAGTAAAAAAGAGGCAATTCCAATAAAGAAATGCAGAGAAAGACACCTCGCTCTCCACCGACAGGAAAGCAGCAGAAACTTTAGACAGCATGCACTGGCTATGCATATGCACATCCTTGTCAAATAGCTCCCCTTCACATTTTTCCTAAAGGGATGCTATAAAAGTATTTCCTACATTAAGATGTTTCCAACAGTACTATTTACAATAACACACAGTAGTCAATAATATTTATATTCAAGAGTAAGGAACCAGTCTTGTAGTAAACAGCTATTTGCCATGTTTGTAAGAAATTAGTGATAAAATAATTATAATGATGTTTAGATTCTTAAAAGCAAGATACTAAAGTATATTTACAGCACAAATTAATTGTAATCCAAAATAAATAAGCATAGAGAAAATATCACAACTTACTATTACCTGTTTCAAACTAGGAAAAATGATGGGGTATGTGGGTATATATGTGGAAGCAGTGTATCTGTGTGTGTGTGTGTGTGTGTGTGTGTGCGCGCGCGCGCGCGCGCGTGCGTGCACGTGTGTGTTTCTCTTTTCTGATTTTAAAGATTTTCTATATTCTATGTTTACCACATTGAGCATTGGCTGCTTTTGGACACAGAAAAAAGAAAGATAAATTTAGCATATAAAAACTATGCATGAATGAAAACAGCTTAAATAGCCCCGGCATATCATTTTATTTCCTCTTATTGGCTAAAATTTTATCATAAGTATTTAAATAGAAAAATTTGCTTTTACCTCACACAGTGTTCTGTTGCATCAATAATGCATTTTTACATCAGAATATTTAATATCAGTTTTTCAGAGAGAAAATTATTTTTTCATAAAGGTTCCAGGACATTTAGTTTCCATCAACTCTTGCAAATGTACTATTTAGCAACTACTTTCGGAGGGCTAATATATCAGTCCTGTGATACAGCAGCGCATGTCCCAAGCTTTTATCTCTTCCTAAAAACATCAAGGAAAATAACCCCAGAGCTAGTCCTGCATGTACAGTACATTTGATCCTTCGATTTTTAACATTCATTTAATGGAGTCTACCAGTGATGACTAACATTTCCTTGTCCGCTAGTACCAACCACTAAATAAGGTTTTTGATGAGATTACATTTGTGCAGCTCTCATTTTAACGGAAATTGGAGAGATATGAGAAAAGATTACAAGAAGAGACATTATAAAAGCAGATCTCACAAGTCAAACTTAATAGCAAAACCATTCTCTTCATGTAGGCAACCATGAAAACAAATATCCTGTGAGCTAGGGACATACTTTCTATCTTTCTATTAGATCTTTAAGCCTTGAGACAAATTTCCATAACTTTATAATGTGGTTAGAGCTGATGAGACAGTGGCCACAGAAGATAATGAATGAAGTACAAGGCAGAAAACTAGATGAACACATCTAAGGTTTTGGGGTGTACAAGCATAGGATCGTAATGCTTATGTTAGTTAGAAGCCAGAGAGGCAGATTAAATGTCAGCCATGAAAACTTCAAATTAAGTGTGCATAAAACATACCCAATTCTCTTATTAAAGAACCCTTTAGAGCACGTTCATGCTAGAAAAGATCGCCATAAAGGCTATATAATTTAAATGTACATCATGAAACTTAACACACTATGGCTCTGACATGTCAAACAATAAAAAATAAAACAGACATTCTGATAAGCAAACTAGAATAGCAAATAAAATTATTTAAAATGCATGAGGAACTTTCCCAAAAGTCTGTGTATAACTGAAGGAAGTAATTTCCTCTAAATCTCAAACCAGTACACCCCCCTCTCCTTTACTTATTAATATAAGCTGTATACAGACAGTCTTCATGGAGATCCAAGTGAATAAGAAACAAGGGTTGGTCCTAATGTGTCTCAAGATTAAAGAAATCTAAAACATTAAAAAATGAACTAATATTCAGTTTATTTAACAACAAAAATCAAAAAATAAGCAGTCCCTTTTCCAGGAGTTAATGGCTTCTTAGATGCAATAAGCAAGCTGAAGGATATATAAACTGTATAAGAAAGAAAAGTATAATCCTTTTAATGGACTTGGAAATTCTGGCATTTTCTCCTGCATTTAAGAAAGTGTTTCCCTCCATCCATATAAACTGTCTGCAGAATAGCTGTTTGCGTTTCAGAGGAGTGTATATGTGACAAGCATAACTTACCAACATAAGTCAGCAACAGCAACAGAAGAAGGCAAGGGTGGATGTTCACTTCGTGATATCAAGTTATCCTTTCAGTGAGCCCACATGGATATTGGAAAAGCATTTTGAAGAGTACTGATTATTTGATGGAATAATCCTAGAGTCAGGTCAACCACTGCACATGGTCAGGAAGGAGAAAGGGTATAATATTGCTATAATATAATATTGCTGTAAAAGAGACTTGGTCATGTAAGATGGCGTAAAAGCAAGAATCAAAGCTAGGTCTTAGGACTGTTGGGGGTGGGAGGGTCTCTGTGTGAGCTTCAGTTCTTTTGTCTCCTTCTCATATGTGCTAAAACTCTGATGTATCACATTTAGTAGGATACAAATATCTTTCCTATATTCAGATCCCACCCACCAGTTAGCCTCCAACTCAATACAGAGGGCAAGTTCCCCAATGCTGTGTCGGTAGTATTATAGAAAATTAAGTCAACTAGTTGAAAAATTTAGTGGTTGTCCATCCATCTTCTGCTGAAGCCACTTTTCCAGAAACAACACAGTGTCAAGAAATACCCCAAACTCCTAAAATCCAGACACTTGCCTAGGCCTGGAACATGAATGAAACTGGAACTCAGATGGACAGAGAGATGCAAACAGAGTTGACTGACTCAAGAGTAAAAATTGAACAAGACCATTACTTTCTCTCTGGTGTTGTAGATAAAGACAGCCCAGGAGAAGGCAAGGTGGAACTTTCCACATCCAGTCTTCCATATGCTAAAAGAACCACAAAACCACGACACATACAAAGTTTGTGCAGTCTGTCTGTAGTTGTCTGAATGGAACAGAATGGCAAAATTGCTTAGAATTAGAGTGCCAGTGTTTACTTCAAGCATATGTATGTAATCAGTCCATTTTAATCAATAACCTCTAATGAAAAACAAGTTTCAAAAAGGATTAAAAATCATTAGCAGTTAGAAAGTAAAGTTAAAGAAATCAATATTAAAGGGGATTAATATATTCATAAAATTTAAACATGACAAAGAACACACAAAGTTTTTCAGAATCGCTAGATGATACTGTGTTTTGAGTTCCCAGGCATACCAACTTTAGGGAAGATAATCAGTCAGAAGAATTTGAAAAAGAGAAGCTTTTATGAGATGGGGCCTATGAGAAAAGTCTTTCTGGGTCTTTGCAAATATGCTGTAACAGCATATTAGACATGGAAAACAGCAAGTCACTTCCAATGTTTCCTTAAAGTGTGCCACAAGGAAGCTTCACATATAAGGATTAAACAGTAAACAACATGCATTTTCTTAGATACAAGTTTGCATTCATGAATTCCCATCAGGAATTCCTTACCCATTCCTCATTATCTCTTGAAACAAAAGTATATCTAGCCTTGCTATAAATATAAAACAATATAATCTACTACAGACCAAGTTTAACACCTCTTAAAGAAAACAGTGCTCTTTTTGAAGATCACACCAGATAACCACCATTTACCTCACCTGTGATTCTTTCACGTTTTCAACAGTGAAGTTGAACCAGACCCGGAAGCGAGGATTACAGGTGTCAGGCCTAATGAACAGATCATACTCAAACTCTGAGACTTGCTCAACCCGGCCAAGGTTACCTATGACAAAACATAAGAGAACTGTGTTTTAATAGAAGTTCGTGTATCTCAACAATATTCTGCACTTTGATACTTGTACCAATCTTCATTTAGAACCGGTAGATGTGAATAGACACAGGCTTCCTTCCAACTCTAAGTGCAGCCCAAAGTAAGGAAGACGTCAGCTAGTTCAGGCTGTAGTACACAATCTCTGCCTGAATCTTATGATCCAGACCCTTGGTGCAACAAACAATATTTGGTTATAAAGACTATGTAGTATGGTTTGTTTCAAAACGCTGAGGAATGAATCACAAGCTACAGATTCCCAGTTAGAAAAGGATGAGGATAGACTATATACTGTTTCTAATATGCTGAATCCTCTTTAATCTTCACAACTTGGCTAGGCAGTTTGTGTGGTAAATTGCTAAAACTGATATTCAAAGGCTAAAAAAGAGTCAGGATGACTATACCTGGCTTCAGATAAATGAATGAGAAGTTGGTATTGTGTTGATCCTAAGGAAAATAGCAATATCTTACTTAAAATGAGTTCTAGAGTGCCTGTCTCTAGATCAGTTCTTCTCAGCCTTCCTAATGCTGCGACCCTTTAATACAGTTCATCAGGCTGTGGTGACCTCCCCAACATCATCAAATTATGTCATGGCTACTTCATAACTGTAATTTTGCGACTGTTGTGAATCATAATGTAAATAACTGATATGTAAAATATCTAGATGACATGTGACCCCTTGAAAGGGTCATTTGACACTCAAAAGGGTTGTGACCCACAGCTTGGGAACTGCTGCTCTAGAGGAATGTTTAGGAATAAACCTTCAACAAATATGGACCAAAGTTTTAACTATGTCGTTTCAAAGTTCTGTTGACATGTCACTAATTTTTTCTGATTATGAATTGTACTATAATTAATGGAAAACTATCCAGGGACCCAGAAACCTGGATTCTACTTCATTTCACTCCAATGGTATGAAGATAGATAAGTTGCTTACCTTCTCACAGTCTTATGAAAATGCTGAATTATATAATCGCAAGGTTCTTTCAGATGTAACCTTCTTTACTGTCTGTTTCTAGCAATGAGCAGGCAGTGACCCAGGACAGTAACTCCACAGATACAACAATTAACTTTTTCTTGCTTTTATCTGCTCTATTAAAATTTAATCTGAGAAAGCAATTTATTTCCCCTTCCAGAACATAAGAGTACCTTTATTTTAGTACATTCACATTGAAAACCTTACATTGATGAGGAAGTACATATAAAAACTAATCAAGACCAAAGACTTGCCTCTTAATTTTCTTTCAATTATATTCACAGTTCTAAAGAGATTCCTTACATGAAACTAGGTCCTTGAATTATTATCATCAAAAATATTTATTAAGAGACTTTTTATGAAAGTCAGAGTATTTATTACACAATGAAACTAAATAAGGGTCAGATAATTTAGGTTGATTTTAAATTTTCTAAAAAGTTAAACCACTGAAAATTCATTTTAAAATGCAACAAAGTTTTTATAATTATAAAGTAATATGAGACTGGGTAGATGGCTCAGTATGTAAGAGTGCTTGGAACCAAGGCTAACAATGTGTGTAGGATCTCCAAGCACCAACAGTAAAAGGAGAGCACCAACTCCTTCACTGGTTCTCTGATTCCACAGGAGCACCCTGGTTTGCATCTACCAATACACGCATACACAAAATAAATAAATATAATATTGGAAAGGTCACATAAATTGAAACATAAGCAATTATTCCTACATTAAAGGAGAAAATACAAATTTTAACCACTATGCAATTAGGACAGAATTTAATTTTAGTAGAAAATTAGTAATTCGAAGTTTAGATGTATGCTATAGACATCCTGAAGGTTAAGTATGTCAATCAATTTAATTTTCAGAACATGTCCCACAAATGAGGTACTTTTGCTTTCCCATTATATATATAAGAAAAACAATGAATACTGAACTAAAACAGCTCCAAAGGTATGCAGTAAGTAAATAAGTGGCATTTGCAAGTGATGTGAATGCCAATAGCACATCTCCAACCACCAGTGATCAGACTATACAGCTGGGCACTGAATAGATGAGCACAGGCATCACAGAGCTATGAATGGAAGCAGATTGTAAATCACTGTGCTTGATACCTACTCCACAATTAAAACAACAAAAACTTAAAAGGAGTCACTGCACACTTCAACCTTTCTAATCTAAAATTATGTATCAATGTTTGATCTAATCTTCAAAAGAAAGCATATATTCAGTCTGTTTTAATAGTTGGACAGTACACATGGATTTCAGTAAGAAGAAATCTTTAAATTGCTACTATGTACAGAGTTTTTAATAATAATATATAATGGCAAAAAACATAAAGTTTCAAAGTAATTTTACTCATATTATTAAATCTTCACCTTGACCCAATGATGATGAACCTGAAACCTGCAAGCACTTAACACCTATCTAAATTAAGACTTTAAAGCGCCTGGAAGGTCTCTGAAATAAAGACTTCTGATTAAATTGTTCTGTTCTTTGTATAACAGTATAACTATATATCAATTTTTTACTTAAATACTTCAACTATGTATCATATTAGAGACTTAAGGAAACATATATTTTAAAATATACTAGTAATGTTTTTTTTATCCATTTAAATGAAAGACAAGGAAAGAAAGAAAGCAAAATCTAAACCATGATGGACAAATAGGGAAATACACATAGGATATAGATTTAGCTTAAATATACCATTAAACTTTTCAAATGTAAAAGGATTAAATATTCAAATATACAAATATATAAACCTTGTTTACATTTTGCTAAGCAAAATAATCTAGAAACAGAAAGAAAATGCTATATGATACTATTACTCTACAGAATATTGAAAGTAAGTCAAATTTGTAAAGGTATACTTAGATCAGGCATCTTAGACATTAAGAAATATTACTAGAACTGAAAAAGAATATTTCATGTTTTTTTTTATTGCGAAAAGAAAAAAAAACATAAACAAAAAACAAGTTTCCACCTCCTCCCAGCCTCCCATTTCCCTTCCCCTCCTCCCACCCTTCTCTCCCTCCTCCCACCCTTCTCCCCCTCCTCCCACCCTTCTCCCCCTCCCCCCACTCCTCTCCCCCTCCCTCTCCAGTCCACAGAGCAGTCCGGGTTCCCTGCCCTGTGTTAAGTCCTAGGTCCTTATAAATCCTTACATTCAAAATAGCCTCAATAAATAAAATACTTTGGAAAAAACTTAAAGAATTGTAAGAACTTTACAATGAAAATTTTGAAACACTGAATAAATAAATTGAAGAAGATATAGAAATAGAAAGATCATCCATGCTCATCACAGATCAGCATAGTTAATACTGTAAAAATAGCTATACTACAGAAAGGAATCCACAAATTCAATACAAGCCCCCATCAAAGAAAAGTACTTTAACAAAAAGAAAATCTAATTTCTTTCATAATGAAAGTCCTGGGAATCTAGAAAGTCCAGGGACATAGCTCAACAGAATAAAGGGACTATGCTACATCTTACAGCCAGTATCATGATAAATGAAGAAAAGCTCACAGCATCTCCAGTAAAATAATGTCCACTCTCTCCATTCATATTCAAAATAGTGAAGAATGTCTTAGATAAGGCATTAAAACATGGAGATAAAAAATAAGAAAGGAATAAATTCAAGTATCTCTAGTTGATTCTGTATAAAAAGACCATAAAGCCCCATGTAAAACTCCTGTCTCATGAACATGTGGAGCAAAGCAGTAAGGCACAAAATTAACATAGAAAATCAGTAGCCTTCCCATGAACCATAACAACCATAGCAAAAACAAAAAAAAAAAGAAAGAAAAAATGAGGAAACAATCCATTTTACAATAGTATCAAAATAAAATAAAATAAATTGGAATAAATCTAATCAAGGAAGTAAAAGACTTGGGAAATGAAAACTTGGGAAATAAAATACCATAAAAGAAACTGAAGATAATATCAGAGGCTGGAAACTCATACTCATGGATTGGTTAGATTAATATTGTGAAAATTGCCCCCTTACAAGAAGCAATCTGCATACTCCATGCAATTCTCATAAAAATTCTAAAGCTTCCAATTCATCACAGAACTTTAAAATACAATCTTAAAACACGAATGGAAACACAAAAGAGCCAGGATACAAAACTAATTGTGAACAACAGAAACACTGCTAGATGTATCAATCACAATAAAAAATACCATGGTACTGCCATGAAAACAGACAGTTGAATAACGTAATAGAATTAAGGAATCCAGAAAAAGAAACATATTGGAGAAAAGACAACATCTTCAACAAATGGTGCTGGCTATACTAGGTAGCTAAATGTAGAAAAAAAATAACTAGATTCTATTTCTCATCCTACATAAAACTAAACTACAAATGAATCAAAGATATCAACAGAAGACTTGATACCCTGAAGCTGTTATAGTAGAACAAGAACATTGTTCAATCAGTGTACAGGCACAGGAGAGATGTTATTACTAGGACACACACAGTACAGGCATCAAGACCAATAGTTGACAGCAGGATCATATATATGGTTTAAAACCAAAACACTTTTAGACAGCAGAAGGCATTATCATTCTAGTGAAGAGGCAGCCTACAAAATGGGGAAATTCCATACCAACTATACATCTGACAAAGGGTTAAAGTCTACAATATACAAAGAAATCAAAAACTAAAATATCAAGAACCAGTTTAATTAAAATTGAGGGGTGATACTAAAAATTTAATTTTTACAATAATATAAAAGATTGAGAAATATTTATAATAACCATTAACATGCTCAGTCATCACTCAATTGAATAAGACAGTATGAAAATGTTTAAGAATCTTCATCTCAGTAGCAAATAAAGTAAATTTAATAAAGTACAAAAACAAAAAAAAAGAGAAACTCAAATTACACCACTTTAAGATTTCATCTTATCCCAGTCAAACTGGATGAAACTAGAACAACAATGTTGGCAAGGATGTGGGGAAATGAAACCCTCATTCA